CTGCTCTAAGCCTAAAAGCGCCATGTCTTTGAATGATTTAAATACTGTTAATTCTCAAACTCATGAAAAATAAATGATTCATGAGGAGGAAGTAAAAAAAGGAATATTGCTTGGAGGTATTTTAAAGAAGAAGGTGATGTTGTGGAATATCAAGCAACTCTAAAGCATGGCGATAAAAGAAATTACGTGTGGAAAAGGATTAATGGCTAATAGTTAAAAATTAATTTTTTATGCACACGTGTATAAAATTGTTTTTTTTTGAAATTTTGAAAATTTTGTAACATTGATAATAATAAACGTAAATTGCATCCTCATTTGTAAGCTTGTTTATTTCAAATAATTGTTTAAAACATTTTTTATTTTTTTTTTATTTTGGGGTAATAGTAATAAAGTATTCATAACGTTATGATCATACCGTATTGAATTTTGGGGATCAAACAAAATCAGCGCATACGCCAAACTTTTAATCCGTTATCTGTTATAGAAAGATCCGTTATAGACGGTGTAGACTGTACTTTTATTATTACATATATAAATTTTTATCACACTAATAAAAAATCATTAGGTTGTTAACTTTTACTTTGAAGGCACATTATCCTAAAATTATCTTGAAAATATTATTTCCCGACAACTTTATACGGGTTAAAAAAAGAAAAGAATATAAAGATACTAAGATACATTTACAAACATATAAATATATGTATATTATATATAGTCTATGCGTGTGTATATATGTGATGAATATATTAATTAGTGAGAGAGGAAAGACAGTTTGTTATTTGAAGATTATTCATCATCATCAGAGTCTTCACACATTTCATAATAAGATGGATAAACATTTGTCATAGTATCATAATACCACCATCCATTTGACAATTGATGAAAATCAGCTATTATAAACATTCCAACCATTGCATACTGTAATGCTTCAAACTCAATATGAACATCAAATGATTCTACAGTTGGCTCTTTGCATGTTCTAACTGTCATTTTGTAAAGTCCTGTATCATCATCAGTTTTGTTTGTTTTATCATCATCTAAAGAATCGCTGGTATCACTTTGTTCCTTGTCGGTACTTGATGTAGATGACGTTGAATCTTCTTTCTTACCATTTCTTAAATACTTTTCTGGCGACTTTTCTATGTTAATTATTTCCACTTGAAGTGCTTTTTTTGTGGCTGCTTCAACATGTTTAATGTTTTCTAAAGCATTTTCTCCAAATGTTATATTGATGATTTCTTTGGCTTCACTTAATGAGATTTTCATACATTCCATAGTACTTTTTAAATTCCAAGGATTATCAAAGACACCATATAAACCACCACCATACAATATAGAACATGCCTTATTAAATTTGTTAAAAGCAGTCAATATAAAACTCTTACAATTTGGCAACTCTACTTTAGCACGATCTGCAATTTCAATTGCTCTTAATATATCCTCTAAATGTTCTGGACACACATCATGTCTAACCAAATAATTTAGAAATGATGATACAACTATAGGTGCTTCATAAAAATGTTCTAATGTATAATATCCTGATTGATCCATAATATAGCTAGATAAATAGGCCTTAACTACATATGTAAAATCCACTATTAATTCTTCTTGAATAAAATCTGCTGATTTTTTCGAAGCAGTATCTGGATTTTGGCCTATCTTGACCTCTCCAAAATTAAGATAAGAACTAAGTACTTGGTTACGAGTTGAAGAAACTCTTCGAGTATCTTTAAATCTCTGTGTTGCAACTTCAATACGAAGTGATATTAAAATTGAGCTATATATATATATTGAAAACAATTAATCCATTAAGAATTAAAAAGATGAAAAAAAAGGAACAAGGAAAAGTCATCTATTCAAATTTATTATTACACACACGAACTTACGAATTATAACGATCATCATCGTCAGGTTCTTTTTCACCAGGATCAACAAATAAAAGGTCCTCTGTTAAACTATCAACTTGTTTTTTCTTTTTCCTTTTCTTCCTTTTCTTCTTTTGTGTAATGCCCATACTAAATGTTTCATGCTGGTTGTTAGCATTAGCATTAGTAAATTGTTTTGAGATGTCATGTAGTTCAGCATTATTTGAGTTTCCATCAGCTTTGTTTAAATCTATTTCCACGGATTGTTGTTGATCTGATTGGGGATTAAGTTGTGTTATTGTACTCTCTTCAATTGATGGATTAATTTGTTCTCGGTCAACAACTTGAATTTCCATTATCTTCCACTAATTAAAAAAAAAGAAAATTAATTAATTAACAATTAAACCTTCTTTTCTATATTTTGGAGAAAAAAAAAATTTACTGACTGGTAAAATTTGATTGTTTAATAATTACATTACACATGCAAAAATTAAATTGTTTACAAATTAGGAAAATTATTTACCCAATCAAAATTAATCAGCATTTAGGAATTTTCGCTTAGTGGTTTCGAGAAAGTTCGAGGTGACAAATTTAGCTGTATATAATAATATTAAATAAAAAAAAATTTTTTTTTTTGAATAAATGGCAGAATATTTAGCATCAATATATGGTACTGAAAAAGACAAGTAAGTTTCGAATCATTTATTAGTTATTAATATTAAACGGTGGAAATCCCCTTTGATGTACGCGCATTACTAACTTGTAGGCTTTTTTATATGGTGGTAACCTTTCTTTGTATAGGGTTAATTGCTCCTTTTATTTTAAAATCGGAGCCTGTCGACATGGTGAACGATGTAGTAGAAAGCATGTCAAACCAACTTTTTCACAAACAATTCTTTGTTCAAATATTTATCAAAACCCTGCTCATGACACTAATAGTAATAATATGACGGATGAACAAATTCAGGCATATTTTGATGATTTCTATGAAGATTTTTTTACTGAACTGTGTAAATATGGTGAAGTAGAAGAAATGCATGTTTGTGATAATGTTGGTGACCATTTAATTGGAAATGTTTATGCTAGATTTAGATATGAAGAAGATGCACAAAAAGCTGTTGATAATTTGAATCAAAGATTTTATGCTGGTATTTATTATTATAAATTGTCCATCAAATTGTCTACCATCTAATTTTATTATTAATTTAAATATTCTTAAAATGGATAAACAATAATATTAAAAGGTCGACCAATTTATGCTGAATTATCACCAGTGACAGATTTTCGTGAAGCATGTTGTCGTCAAAATGAAAATGCTGAATGTACTAGAGGTGGATTTTGTAATTTTATGCATCTAAAGGAAGTATCTCGTTATTTGAAAAAAGAATTATTTGTAGCTCAACGTAATTATTTAAGAGAACAAAGGAGGAAAAGGGAAAGAGAAAGAAGTGTAGAAAGTGTAATTGCATGATTTTCATCTATTAAACAATTTAATAATAATAAGAGTACCATAATAATAACGGTAAAGTGCAAATTATAATCTATTATCATCTCATTAATGAATATATTTTAGTATTTTCTGGCAGATAATTGTCTGAATGTTCAACTAATAAGGAATTTATTAATTGACTTTCCCTAGACTTTATTGTAACATTGTTATTAATATTTCAAATTAAATCATTATTAGAATGAATAATTTCATTTGGTTATTACCCAAGGTTGAGAAATGTATGATTTAATTGCTTTAATACAAATTTTTTGAGATTCCTGGTTTTTTATGATTATTTTCTGATTATATGGGGCATGCTGCAACAAAACCAGACAAAGTGAACATTGGTATTACCAAGGATTTCAGGGATCAAAATTTAGTCATTGTTATTACAATTGCATTGTAATTATAATTTAACAGTTTTATAATGCTCCATTTGTTATCTTTTAACTTTATTTGGACACATGTGAGACGTTTTTCACAACACAATCCCAAATCTCCTATATTGATAAATATTACCACTGTGCAAATTATGATAAATGTAATTTTTCTCATCATTTGTAATTAAAAATATAATCATTTTACTAAATATTTATGAATCTATTAAAAGTTTATCTTTCTGAAAGTTATTCAATCTTATTTTTCCAAGTAATTTTTTTAAAATTTTTTGTTAAATTATTTTCTAAATCTCTATTTTTAGCATATTTAAATACCAACCATTAATCATTCTCATAAGAAATAAATAGAAATCAATGATGTTAATTAAATAAATAAACAATGAAAATATTTTCATTACTATTTCAATAAGTTCTTCTTCTTTGCTCACCATCAGTATTCCTCAAATAATTTATTATTATTATTTTTTTAGGTTTAATGCCAAGTATTAATATCCTCTTCTAATGATAGTAGTGATTCATTTCCTAAATCAATGTTCTCTTTGTTCTCAAAATTTCGCATATTTTTTCTGTCATTAATGTTCAAATATCTACTTGATTCAGGATGACCACTGATTTTCCTTTGAATTGGAATTTCAAAAAAATTTGTGTCAGACAACACATTAAAAACCATAGAGTTAGGATTTGAACATTACATGCCATGTATTAGTGTAGGATTTATTCACTCTCTTATTATTCTGCTAGAAGTCAAATAATAAGATGTGATTGAAGAATATCTTCCACCTAAATAAAAGGTAAACATATGCAAATTATATGGATATAAAATTAAATAGAATCCACATATTACACATTATATATCCACATATGCACTCACATATCATCCCGGAAACGTCCATGGTGTTCCTTCATCTTGACCCATCAATGAGCAATTCAATTGCCCAGTTCAGCTCAGCAATATAAAAATCAACGAGTCCATCCGTTTTATATGTGTCCAACATTTGATGACAAGTGAATTTCATCAGATAGACAGCTATAGATAGTTCTATAAAGTTCCATCTACCACACCTGTTCTAATAATCTCTTATCATCCTTTGACTTTCCAACATTATTTTTTAACACTTCAGGGTTTATCCTGGACAATGCCTCCTTTATCCCCTAAATGCACACTCTCACTCATTCCCAAGGGGGTGGTGCACTTAGAGGGGTTGACTGTAGCTTGAGATAGAGAGCCTCTATCGATTTGAAAGAAGATTTTTTATGACAGTTTTATTTTTGATTTTGAATTTGTTATAAAATAGAGATTTTAAAAAACTGATTGATTACACGAGTTGGATTTATCTCACTCAAATGCTCCAAAATCAATTATTACAATTAGTAAAGAAGATGCCAGGAGGAGAAGAGTTAGTTGTTTCAGAAGAAGGGTTAAAATCAGAAAGGATGGAGAAAAACAGGATTTAGAAATAACATCATCTCAACAACCCACCAATATTTAGATGAGTTCAGAGTACCAAGAGATGATGAAAAAGAATTACCCAAAATAGATGGAGATGAAGAAAAACAGTTGACAACTATTCTGAGTAAGTTAAAGGTTACAAGAAATAATATACTTTGAGTATTATTATCTTCTTGGAAAACTTATTGAAGAATATCCTGCAACCATAAGAAAGAAAATTCATCAAAAATGCCAGCATAACTACAACAAGAGCGGAAAACTCATTAATTTGGCAAAGAAGACTGTAGTGTTATTCAATACAGTAGGATTATCCTACTTATCACTACAAAAATTACGTCCTCGAAACCTTCTGGAAATGACAGATGGAAATTTCGAAAAATGAATGGTAGGAGTAAGAGCAATTGTAGCTGAATGATTAGAAACTTCATTGCTCTTAGATGATTTATTGAGAGATTTTACTTGTCCTGTTTCGCAGGAGTTCAATGCTGGAGCGGAGGTGATGTCACCGGAATGCGAATTTGACTTTAATTCACTGATCAATAACCCTGAAAATCCGGAGTAATATTATTTATATTATTATTTTTATTTATTTATTATTTGTTATCTATTATTTATTTTAGTTATTTATTTTATCTATTATTTATTTTAGTTATTTATTATATCCTATTTTTATTTGTATTAATTATCCGAATGATTTAATTCAGGGTTGGGGATCGTACACGTATCGTACACGTACGTACATATCAGTATTGGTATGAGCTTAAATTTTTTACGAACATATCATGTGATTTATGATAATTTTAACTCTTGTCATAACGGATTTTTAAAAAATTTTGCTTCGCATATCACATGTAAAAACATATAAAAATTCGCTGTGGCAAGATTAGTATTGGTATTTAGTAATCTTGCCACAACGGATTTTAAATAAAATTTGTTTGTGTACCGTTCATCCGCTGTGGCAAGGTTTGACTATATTGTGGAATTAACTACATATTGTATATGGATTGGAGATATTTAATACTATTATTAATTATTTTGAATTGATAAAATAATTTTTTATTTCATTATAAATAAATAGAAAAAAAAATTTAGGAATCACGGTAATAATAATACTACCAATACTACTAACCCAGGATAATGTAAGTATAATATGATAATCAGGGTTTTTCTGATAACGAAGTAGTATTACGATCTGTTACTGTCTTTGATTATAGTAATCGTAATAGTAATAGGGCTGACAGCATAATATCATTATAAAATAATATTTTATCACCACAGAAAATCATCGTACGTTCGTACAACGAAATTGCACAACACTGACTATAATAATAACGTATATAATACTACTACATAATAACAAGGATTTAAATAAGCATATATAACATGATGATCAGGTTTTTTCTGATAATGAAATAGTGTTACGACCCCAGTTACAACATCTGGTAATCCATTAATTATATAATAGGGTTATTGGCTTAATAATAATAATATTATTATTATAGGATTTTACAAAGTAATATTTTATCACCGCAGAAAATCATCGTTCCTGATACATCGTACATTCGTACGTACATATGTAAAATTTCCTCGTACGGGTGTACGACCACAACGAAACTGTACGAACTCAATGGTACAAAGTCAGTCGTACGTACGTACGAAGATTCTTCTCGTATAGCGAAATTGCACAACCCTGATTTAATTAGTTATATGAGCTCGTGTTAGATTCCGCAGATTTAATTAGTAACACGTTAACATTAGTATTAGACCTTTATTTAGTAGAAGTTAACGAAGATTATCCCAACTTGGGAGACTTATCTCAGACTGGGAGGAATATCCCAACCTGGGCTAAATATCCCAAACTGGGATACATACAATTCGACATGTATATAAGGAACGAGAATTCTCTGTATTCGAAGAATAACTTTGTAACAAATTAACTTAATAATAAGTTAATAATTAGTTTCGACTAAATAACTAAATACAAAATTAAATAAATCATTTTATTAAATCACTAAAACAAAATTATCTGCTAATAAATTTAATTCGTTAATATTAGCCTATTCATTCTGATCCACATAAACTAATAAAAATTTATTATCATCAATTAAAACGCTCTCCCAAATTTAATTGGTGACAATTGCAGTATTTAGAAATTCCAATTTTAGTGTACCGTGACACACCCGATTGAACTTTCAATACCATTCGACATTTATAGATGGACATGCCATAGAAATAAAATATCATAAAGAGCGACTTTTAAAACACCCATATTGTGCCCATATTGTTAATGCTAAGAAGGCTATTTACATTTGTGGTAAAACAATTAAGCTCAATGGATGCTTGAAGATTACTTAAATTGTCATGCAAAGGGGTTTCCAATTTTACAAACCTGTTCAAATTGAAAATACAGAAAGTTTAGAAGAGTTTGATTCTGATTATATATGCAGCCAAAGTATTTTGACACCGTCATAAAGGGGTTTACACATGTCATAAGGGGGTGTTACACTTATGTTTTTAATAGTGAGTGCCGTAATTAATTTCTACTTTCTACCATCAAAATTGGAATAATTTTGACC